AAAAATTATTGTACCAAATTCAATCCAATTAAAATTTGGATTGGATTTCTTATGTTTTGAATTGGGTTTAAATTGTTTGGAACACAAATAGTTTTAACAAAATAAACTTAATTAATTTTATTTGAGTTATTTGGTAAAGTATTCTTCAAATTTCTATCGATGATTTCTTTTATATTAAAAGTTTAGTTAACTTATCATTAGGGTTAATAGTAAAATTAGGTAAATTTACGTATACTGAAAATGTTAATAGTATAATACTATTATTGATATAAGTAATTTTACACATACTTACAAGATTAACCGTAAACTGTTATTTTTGATTTAGGTAACTTTACATTTATATTGAGTTATGTACTAATATAATATATGTAAGAAAAAATTTGGGTTTTATTTGAGTTTTTTAGTTATCTAAAGGCCAATCCAAATAACCCATATCCAAATTAATATTTATTATTCGATCCAAATGGGTTTTTATATGAATCCAAATCTATAATAATCCGGGTTGTTTGGATTGGATTGGATTAGATTAACCGAATTGGCCACCGACAATTGATTTAAAGGGATCTTCTCATTCTAAAAGCTCGTATAAATATCTTTTAGAGTTAGAAATGGAAACGGATGCTCGCTTACTATGACTAATTCACATACATAGAGGAGTGAGGATTTTTCGAGACCAGTTTGTGACTTGTGAATAGGGCCGACTCTGAGGGTAAGCAGGTCAAGTCCATACTTGCGATTCAAATTTTTTGAAATGTTTTGTTTATATATATTATCGACAAAAAAATATGCATAAATTTTTTTCAGTTTAGTTGATTCATGAGCTACATAGAGTAAAGAAGAGGTGGAGGGTTTAATTATTCGTTTGATCAGTTTGTTTAATTTGTTTGCCTTTCTAAAAATCAATAACTACTTACCCAAATTTTTTGTTTTTTTTTGTGGCGCTTAAAATATCAGGGCCGGCAATATGGATTTGGAGTAAACATTTGAGCAATGTTGCTAAAACGTTAATGGGTTTTTATCAAAAAAACACTAATGGGTCTATCGAGTCTAATGAGCCGAGTTCTCGAAGTTAGTAAAGATTATGAATAGTACACCAGAGATAATATACGTATCCTCTCTTTACGACTTTACGTAGATATTTCCACTCTTTTCCATATGAAATCGTATTTTAAAGTTCGTATACCGTTACGAGTAATTTATATCCTACACATAATATGATAATAGAAAATCTGGACATAATCCTATGTGAATGGGGCAACGGTCATTACTCATTTGTTATCGATTTATTAGTATCGATTCATTTTGTTATCGATTCATTAGTATCGATTCATAAAACCCAACCACCTAAATAACTTCCGTTTTGCATAGTAAGTGTGTTCCTTTTTTTCGAATCTTGTTTTCCGCTTTAAGTATTTTACAGTTCACTTTCACCTCAAGATTTCAAATCAAATGTTGTTGCATTCATACACCAAAAATCTCGGAACTTAAGCTTTTGAATTAACAATTGAATTTGCTTTCATATATTGCTTTTGGTATGGAACCACTTAGATAGGTTAAACAATTTGTTAATCAATTTGTAAAACCTAAAC